AAATCGAGAAAATTCTAGCTATATGTTAGATTGATTCAACCGCCAAAATCGGTTGACCGGTGACTAGTTTGGACGATTACTATACAAAAGTTTGTAAGGGTTAATTAGGCCAAGCACCATAGCGTGGCCCTTACAAAGAAAAGAATGTTTTCCCCCGTTTGGTTGGGATTGAAATAAGATTTTTAGTATATTTTGATAAAAGTTGATTAAATGTGTGGTTGAAAAGTCATGGATCCTAAAAAATATGTTGTTAAAATTAATTATTAACTTCGACTTAGATTAAAATCTGGATTCCAATAAGAGGGCATCTTCAATTTGTCCTATCTTGTTGATCCAAACCAAAATGTTGCCATCCCTGAAGAAACAATCCTTGCCTGTAACCCGTTAGGTTGCTCATACTCCCAATTCATAAGGGATTCTAGAACTCTCCCAAAATCCTCTATCTGCCAAGCTTCATAGCCCCGTCTACATTGAAGAAGACTTAGGGCCTATTTTATTCGTTCGAATTCCATGGAAAATGGAATTCGAATTCCACCTTTTTCCAATTTTGTGTATTTGATACGTTTTAATTTCCATGGAATTCCATTTTCTTGCTTGTCTTGGGAAATAGAATTTTCTTAGTTTTTAAGGAAAACCAATTCTTGACCTACTGTTCACGATTTTTTTGTTCTATTTTGTGATTTATTTATTTATTATTTTTTTTGTTTGCAATGGAAACAAATTTTAAGAATTATTGTAAAAAAATATTTCACTTTAATTTACAATTTTCATGTAAAATAAAGTCAAACGTATACCAAAAGATAGATGATTTTCTTGATTTTTTTTTTGTTGTCAATGGAAACAAATTTCATTCTCAATATCAGTAAAATCTATCTCTTTAATTGATAATTTTCATGTAAAACAAAGTCAAACGAACACCAAAAAATACTTTTATTTCAACATTTTTCACGTGAAAAATTATACCAATCAGATACAATAATTTACAATTTTTAGGCAATTCAATTCCCTGAAATTCATTTTTAACTCAATTCAATTCCGTCTTTGCAATCAAACGGACCCTTAAAAAATTCAGAGAACGTATAATATATAATGGGTCTTCATATCATGAATTATTTGTTCCATTATCAAGCAAATTGTCCAAGTACCGTGTTGGGTACGCTTGATCCAAGAACTTTGTGCCAGTGCCCGAGTATGGGAATGCGACCCAGATTTTTCATGAGTTGAGGCGTGTGCTTTTTGCTATTTTTTATTTTGCATTGATAATTGCCTCTGTTTGTGCACCGGCGTTTGTATGAATTAGTTTAGTTGCTGCCTTTCAAGAGTTTGTTGTTGTTAGTTGGGTATGCATTTATTTTTTTTTACAATTTTTATTGCTTTTTTTTTTTTTTTTTTTGATGACTCAGGTGTCCGAGCTTCATCTGATTAATCTTAAAGAGTGACGATCTTTCCCCTGATTGGCCATCCGGGTAAATCCAGATGCGATTACAGCTTATAAACACTTGGACTGGACATTCGAGATGCGATTATTTTCCCTGTGGACCTCCCTTTACGACATACGAACAGGACCTCCGGAGGAGCAATAAAGCGACCATAACTTTGCCTCTATAGGATATCTACCTTCCAATATAAATGTTGCCTTCCAGCTATCGCGGGGATTCGAACTTCGATGCTACATAGAGAACCCTCATACTTTTTCACTGTGTCATGTCCGTGGGGACTACAATTTGTATTGTTTATTTTGATTGTGGTTGAACTTTTTACACATGCAATAGCTACAAATGCCAGGCAAATATTTAAAAATGGGATAGATTTTCTGTTGCAATGCGTTACAAATATTAACTTGCTGATTCTCTTTCCCAACGATACTCATCGAGTAAAATCTCATTTCTTGCATTTTCTTCAAAATCCCTGATACTTGAGTTGGGATTACTTAAAGTTGATAAAAAAAAACACTTACCGTCGTCTGTCTTTGCATATAATTTTGAAAAAAAAAAAGAAAAAGGGATGCATTAAATGGAAGGAAAACAGGAAAATAACACATGAAAATTGGAATGGAAATTTATTTAACTGTGTATTCTGAATTGTTGCACTATAAAAAATGAATTACAACGAGCTTCATAAATAGCCAAACGCCTGGAAAGATCTGAAAACGTGTATAAACCACTGAGGAATATAAACATCAATAACTATAAAAAAAAATCACAAGTACTTACTTAATAACCTTCAGATTAATAAGACCCCCACTAACTCACACATTAATTCAAGCATGAACTTTAATGCAAATAAATGATATTCAAGCATTATATAATCGCGTCTTCGTGTCCTAAATTCACATCATCAAGGCTATCTTTTCCTTGCAAATTGAGATGACTTCCAAATTTGTTCTCTTAGTTCTTCTTGGTGTTTTGTTTGCAACACCACCGCGAGAAAGCTAGTTGGCTCAGACGGTTCCTTCAATGATCCATTTTTGATCACTGGAATTTAGGCGGTGGCGGTGGGGGTGGTAGTGGTGGAGGTGGAGGAACAGGGGGTGGTTCTGGTTTCGGAGAAGGATTTGGTGGTGGGTTTGGAGGTGGTGCTCAAGGAGGAGGAGGAGGTTTTGGTGGCGGAGGCGGTGGTGGTGGTGGAGGCGGATTGGGTGAAGCATTTGGTAGTGGATTAGGATTTGGTGCAGGATACGGTGGTGGGATAGCACAAGCAGCCGCGGAAGAATTCATGGTGTAATTAATAAAATTTCAGTCTTATGTATTTCTTCAAACCTAATGATTATTTTCATGGCACAACCAAAATAAACTACTTGATTGCAGATCTTTTATTTTGTTATCAAATTTATTCAAATTGCACATTTTTGTAATGTAAAATATAATATTTTTAAAGTGAACAATTTATTGGAGCACGTTAATACCGTATATTCTAAGTGTAAAAGTTCGTCCAATGCTTAGTCCCAAATTAACAAGTCATATCCAACTAGACTCCGATTCTCAATTCAGATTCGACTTTGACATGGTGAATTTGGAGTCGACTTTGATTGTGTCATGAAAGATTTTAGGTGTGCCGAATTATTTGTATTTATATTTTCGTAGGCCTTAGACATAAATGAAATAGCGCCAAAATTGAGCAAAAAAACATGTTTGAGCGTTCACAATCAGCAAGAAACTATAAAAGTTGATACCCTCAAATCAAATTGTGCACGAAATTTTTTTCTTCATAAAGATTTTTTGCGAAGTAGTAAAATAAATGAAACTTATAGCTACCCATGCACTTAAATACGTAAATAATGAAAAAAAAAAAAAAAAAGAAAGAAAGAAAGAAAGAAGAAAATTCTACATTTTGGAAGTAAATTGTCATGAGTATGAATTTGCTTCAAACATTTTGCACAAATTTCTTTGTAAATTTGTAGTGTATTCAACCAAATTTTGACGAGTTTTACGGAAAAAAGTTAAAATTTTTTGAGGAGTTGATATGTCAAGTTGAGTTCAAATCGAGCAAAGATAAAAACTCACATAGGAACAACAAGACCCTGTTTCACGGGGTGCCTTTCTTCTTGGCACAGAAAGGGACACCGTGCGGCAGTAGTCTGCTCCGCTAGACTACCTTCCGCCTTTTCTCGGTCGCGTCGGGACGAAAGAAAATTTGATTGCAATTTTGTAGAAAGCTTACAATTGAGAATTTGAATACATTGAAAGTAAATTGAACATTGATTGCTGAAAACTGAACATTACAATTGATGAAATCAGAAAATTACAAATGCTGGTGCAGGGGGCGGACACCAGTGAGCTTGAAAGATTTTTGAATGACTAATACCCCCTATAATAGCATTCTGAACAAAAACCCAAGTGACGGGAGTAGACGTTTAAAAGACGAGGAATCATACTAATCTTTTACCAATATCAGAGCTATTTTACAATTAAAATAACTATTACAATGAAACGAAAATTACAACTCAAACTTGAAGTAATATTTACAATGTGCGGCCGAAGTTGGGCAAACTGCGGCTGCGATAGTGTCAAGGGGCTAAGTAAAGCTGCGGTCCTTGACA